AGCGGCCGCGGACCTTGTATTCCGCCTCGGTCAAGCCAAACTTGACCCATGGAAACTGTCCTGGCTGTCCATTTCCGGCCTGCGATGCGGATTTCGCCTTCCCATTGTTGCGGGACTTGTTGGTGCTTCGCGGCTGGACAGCGGCCACCTGATCTCCGTCACTTGATGCTGAAGTGGCTGCTGGGTTATCTCCACTGTCCTGCTGGACTGCAGCAAAGTGCTGCTGTCGCGGACGAGTTCGTACCTTCTCCACATAGGTCGGCTGCCATGTCGATTTCTCGTGAGCAGCTGGCCTGTTGGTCTTGATGATCTCGCGAGCCTTGTTGATGATCTCAGCAAAGCTTGTGTACTGTTCGCGCTCACCAAGTGYAAGGCTRAGGGCCGCACAGGATCTRTTGAAGAACTCACGCCGCAGATGCGTGAATGGTAGATCCAGATCGGGCGTCGCCACGATCTTCTGCCATTCCGTGAGCCAGTCCCGTGTCAGACTGTTGCCCTGTGCCATTGTGAAGATGCGGCCTGTGCAGGCGCGTCGTCAACGATGAACCGCTTCTTCCATTCCTTTGTCATTTCTTCCCAGGTGATCTTCTTGTACAGCTTTGCCACGTCGACGCTGTGCATTGTGGCCATGTGRCTCAACCAGATCTGGCATGCTCCTTTCACATTGAGGAACAGAGCGCTGATGTACATGTCATTGGGGATCTGATGAATCCCCAACTCCGTCGAGAATCCTTGCCACCAGACTACCGGATTCTGATGCATGTAGTCATCGAATCTCTCAATCTGGAACTTTGGCATCTTGTACGGCTTCGGCGAGCTGCTGYTGTGCTCGGATGGCTGCTGTTGCTGCCCGAGCTTGGCATCCAGCTCCTCGAACCGCTGGCTGATGGTGGCTGGTGCTGTGAAGGTGGTAAGGTCACCCAGCATTGCCACCACGTGGTCCATGCGTTGTTCCAGCTGGTGGTTTGATGGTGCACTRCTGGTCGCGACTGCGTCTGGATCTGGTGCAGGTTGCTCCAGGTCTGTGACACGGCCGTTGAGTGCCCGTGTAGCACTGTCGTGATCATGCACCATGCGGCGGAGAGTCACCAACTCTTGTTGCTGTGTCTGCAGAGCCTGGTGCAGGTTCTGTAGTTCCAGGTTCTGCTTCTCCAACTCGGACCGTTGGTAGTTGCACGCATASAACAACCGGGTCACGAGCTTGGAGAGGAACTCCTTGTGTTGTTCCTCCTGATCTGCCTCGTCGCCGTTTGGTTCAAAGTGCCAGAATTTGWGTCGCTCGATGTTGCTGGCTTCATGCCGCTGCAACAGATCCTGGGCTTCCTTGCGGCGAGCCTGGGCATCTGCATCTGCTTCGGTCTGTAGTCGCAGCTTCTCTGCTGCTGCCAGCTGCCGCTCGTCTATCTATCTATGTATCTATGTATCTATCTATCTATCCATTAAACGAAGCGTAGTCTTCGACCATCTAAATTTCTCGCTACAGAGTGTTCTCTAAAAAGACGTGGTCATTGAGCTCTGCGGTCTCTACCTTCTTGTGGGTCGAGAAAATTCATGACCACATGTCTTTTATGATAGATTGTTCAGCTCGCGGCAGAAAATACCACGTGATCATGGACTGCACCCCTCTCTCTTTCTCTCTCTCTCTCTCTCTCTCTCTCTCTCTCTCTCTCTCTCTCTCTCTCTCTCTCTCTCTCTCTCTCTTGAACCTAGCATAGTGTTCAGCAATATGAATTTCTTGCTACAGAATGATCTCTGAAAAGACGTGGTCATTGAACTCTCCCTTCCTGTGGGTAGGGAAAATCCATGGCCACGTGACGTTTGTGAAACATTATTTAGCTTGCAGTAAAAAATACCACTTGGTCATGGATAGCGCTTTTCTCTCTCTCTCTCTCTCTCTCTCTCTCTCTCTCTCTCTCTCTCTCTCTCTCTCTCTCTCTCTCTCTCTCTCTCTCTCTCTCTCTC